GCGACAAGGAATCTGACTGGGGAAAGAGCAAGGAAGCAAGGCCGCCTAGTTATGTGGCAGCGTCCAAGTCCTGAGGCATTTGGCTGGAAACATTTGAGTACATCCACATCTTGCTCAAAATCATGGCCGGTAACATGGAATGCTTTTCGCTGCTTGCCACAGCACATGTATTGGTCACGCAAGAGGAGGGTTAGGTGAGCAGTATGGGGTGATCGATCGTCTCGAGGACGTCAAATTCTGTTCTTGGTTCTGTTTCTCGGACCATAAATGAACCCATGATCGCTTTGAGTAGACCCCATCCAGGAGCCGTTATCCCTGACACCGTGCTTCCGTCCGGCCGTTCACAAGCCATACCCAAATCCCAATGCTACCCAATCTCACCGAAGAATAACCAAGTCGTCATCATCATCTTCAAAGGAAACTGTCTGTGGCAGGTCCATCCCCAAGCTCTCTCTCCCAGCTTCGCGAATGCCTTTCTCCGTCACGAATCTCGTCTTTTTCCGGACCGGTGGCTTGTCATTGCTCAACTTTTCGCCCTCCTTCATCTTGCTCAGCTTGTCCTTGAGGTTACCACCCCAACCGAAACCAGACTTCGCGCCAGTCGTTGCTGATGCTGGAGCACCGACCGAAGAGCTGGATTGCGCACTCTGCGGCCTCTTGCGTTTAATAGGGCTCAGGTGGATTGCGAGGTCCCTACTCCTCGATCCTACCAGACCCAGAGCTTTAGCATCGGGCTTTGCTTCTTCTTCAATGGCGTTGGATGATGACGGTCCCGGCGGGGGGAAGGAAGCGGATACACTGGAAGTAGGACCACGTTCTGTCCTTTTCATGTAATCCCTTCCAGCACCAGTGCCGATCTTGCCCAAACGCTGCATGATTCCGCGTTCTCGCTCTTGTTGAAGCATCCGCTTCTTCAGCCCCTCTTCCTTCTCCCTCCGATCCGCGAGAGCCTGAGCACCATCTATAAGCTGCGCCGCGCTCATGGATTTCGTGGCAAACCAATGGCTATGTGTTTCCCTGTCGTATTGGCTCTTCTTTTGTTCTGCCGCGGTAGGAGGCTTAGTGACGTAACGAGAGTTCATTCGCCATCTCTCTGCACCACTCATGCCGAAATCCATGGTGCCGATCTCAATGCGTGCTGCGCGCTGCTTGGAGACTGCCTCGTTGGTATGAAACTCGCAGAACTCTGTTCGTTTCTTGTTAACCCACGAATTGCAGTACTCGCCGTCCTTCTTTATGGATTTGCAGAAGCCCAGATCCCGAGCCTTCCCTACTTCCATGATTGTGTCGGCATCCGAGTTGATGACCAAACTGAAACGACCAGTGGCTTCGCGGCCAACCGGTGGCGGCATGATCGTAGGATTCAAGATTGCCAGCACAGTGCCTTCTGTGACCTTCCAGAACCGAGTGAACCCCGAGTTAAAGAGGAACAGCTCAAGCTCCCACTTCAAATCACACAGCGTAATCACCATGTATTTGCCCTTGTCTGTCTGTTTTCCTTTTTGATCCGGTCTGGGTTTATGCGAGCGTGGTTCCGACTTTTTTGCCACAATGGCGAAGACGACGATATCTTGCTCGATATCGGGAAGCTGGAACTCGGGCCCCTTGACTTTCCGGAGTAAATCTGGTAACTTAAAAATCTTTTTCTCAGAGAGGTGTCTGGTTAGGACCTGGTGTGGCAGAATGCGCTGCGAAAGATGGAAGCTAGAATACGGCTCGAATGCCGAAGCTTCCGATTCGGGGACATCTGCAGGTGCTAGCTTCTTAGGCTTCGCTGGTTTCGATTGTGGCAACATCCAGTCAGGCGGTGGTTGATAGAGACCTTGGGGGTCATCTGCGGATGTTGATGGCGGTGCCGGGAGAGCTAGTTGCCCGTCTCTTGGTGCTTGCTCGCTCTTGGGTTCTAGGCCGAGGATTTCTTCTCGTGTGAACTGTGGCGCTATGTCGGGTTGATCGGGTAGGTCGACGGCCTTTGATTTGTACTCGTCCATCTCCTTCCGTCCAATCTCAAATGCGTTGGACCTGACCTTTTGAACTCTGTCTCTTAAACCTTGCCGATCCTGCTCTGTTGTCTTTGCTGCAGCTAACCTCTCGTTGAAACTCAGCGGCCGAGATATTTCAGACGTGGGTTGGGGTCCGGGGGTCCTTGACCTCTGGAGGTAGCCGCCAAATTGTTGTTCTCCATCTTGCCTTCTGCGCAGCGCACTTGGGGCTCTTTTCAACGAGATGTCTTTCGCTCTCAGTCCCTTGTCTATTCCCAGAAGAACCCGACTTGGTGAAGTTTGTGGTTGAGGGGGCGGGGCCTTTCTCGTTGGGGAGACAGGCACCTCGATAGTTGGAGCGGCGGGAAGTGACAAAGGCCTGGCGGCAGCTCGGCCTGCGCCTTGTCCAAATATTCTCGAGGATGGTCTTGGTTGTGGTGGTGGTGATCTGCGCCTAGGCGATGGGGGCACAGCTGTCTTCTCCCTTGCGCTCTGAAGTTTCTTGAGCTTTAACCTGGCCTGGATCTCCTGCAACTTGAGCTGTAGGGTTTCCTCGTCGTCCTCCTCCTCTTGGTCGTTCATCTCGTCTCGCAATGCGGCCGACCTTGACGATAAGGCGGACATGGATCGCCCTCTCTTGAGTGGTGACGGAGAGGGAGAGGTTCGGTTCGCAAGCCGTCTCAGTCGTTCGCGCCCGCCGGGTGTGCTGATGAGGGCTTCATGGGGTGATCGAGGAGGCCATTGAGGCTCGTCGTGTGGGGCACCTGTAGGAATGTTACGGTCTCGTTCGCCAGACGCTCTCGGGGTAACGAACCAGGAGGCATATTGCTAGTAGATCACAGTAAAGGCGGTCGTCGGCGCGATGGTCACCTTGGTGCATTCCAGGGCAAGGCGACTTGATGGAGCTTTAACGCCACAAGGCCCATGACCCGCCGACCGGGCTGCTCAGCTTCGAAATCGGGCGCAAGACTCGGTTGATGGTTGATGGGAGGGGTCTGTGCCGGCAAACAAACACTCGCATTCAGAGAACAAAGGAAAGACGTAAGAGTTCAATGTAAACAAGATAGGCGGCTAAAGGAGCGACGTCGGCTTTCGGTGCCGCAAAAATGACGAAAAGATGTGTGCAAGCTAAGGCATGAGAAGGACGGGCAAGAAGGTCTCGATCGTTATCGACTGTCGCATCTGAACTTGTCGTCACGATAAGCCTGGGCAGGCTAGGCTGAGAAGAGGAGTTTGACGTGGAGTGATGCGAGTGTTCGGGCAGCCGCCATTGGTCGCTGTCGCGAGTGACCCTGAACGACGCGCTCCACTTTTAATTGAGATCAGTCCGTCGCGTCCTGTCGCGTCTAAGCGCAGGGGTTCACAAGTCACTTTGTACCTCGATCCGCGACCTATCCACGCTCAGCACTGGCCTACAGGTCGGATTGTTCGCTATCAAATTGCCGACACGTCTGCTTCGTCCATTCTCGACTGATCTTTCGTTCTTGCTTTCTCGGATTTGGCATCTCTCATACCCATAAGCTGCTAATTGCAGACGGCAGAATATCCAGGTCACATCCAATGGCGAGAACCAGATCAACCAAGTCCGCTCCGGCGACGAAGACGGAGGCAAGCAATGCCTCAACGACGGCCAAGTACAGTCTGCCAGAGGAGTCGTCGAGCGCACCCAAGCTATTCATCATTCCTACCAAGGCTACCCAAGAGGCTCGCATAGTCTCTCTCCCTAATCCCAGATACTCGAAACCTACACGGTATCTGCTCTGCCCAGACACGGGCATCTACGAGTTCACCAAGATCGCAGCACCCAAGACCAGCCCGAGGAGCTGGATGATCGAGACACCCACTGGCGATTTGAAGAAGTCAAATGATGGAGACACCTCAAAGCTCCAGGCGCAGGTCACCAATGGCGCTGATCTCTTCGTCGCGACTCCCATTGATCCCATCTTCCTCCTGCTTCCCGGCCTATTCGGCCCTGCCAGCGCAAAGTCGACCGAATCGAAACGCCTGTTCCTCTCCAGCGACGACCACTTCGACGCCGTTTCCTCGTCGTCCTCCCATATGGCCGAGGCTCTACGATGCCCAAAAACCCGCGCACTTCTCGAGGCACGAATGGAAACGGTCTGCGACACCGTTGATGCTGGTGACGAGAAGATGTACCGACTGAGCGAGAAGAAGCTTGTCAACGAAATTCTGTCAAAAGCGAAAGCGATGAGCTCCAAAAGTCTTCCGAACAGTATGGAGGAAAAGTTTGTGAAGAAGGCCTTGGAGGCACCTATTCAAGTACAAAGATCACAAGCGGTGACAGTGGAAGCGAAACCGGCTGCCGATGGAGCGACGGATGGTTCCCAAGATTCCACCAAGAATGAATCAGGCGAGTCTCAGACGTCCGTGTCTACGGTGGACAGTACACAATCAGCTGTCTCGACTTCGACAGTCGCAACATCTATCAGCGAAGTCGTGGAAGAGACCATCGTCAGTGCCATCCAAGCATCTGAGGAGGTCACCAACCTTCAGAGACTCAAGATCGCATTCAATTTCATCTGCTCCAGCTATATCGCGCCTGGGATGACCGCGATGCTGAGGCCACTCCTTGCTGACCAGGAGACGACCAGCGTCGACTTCACCCCTCTGGATGGCTACTTGGCTCAACTTGCCAAACTGCGCGCCGAAGCCGCATCGTCTAGGTCAATGGCCGACTACTCCAGGAAGCGAATGATGGATGAGGAGGAGGAAGAGGCACGTGCTGACAAGAAGAGGAAGATGGAGGAGGAGAAGAAACGGAAAGCCACCCAAAGCCGCGGAGTCAGAGCTTTGGAGAAGGTCAACACCAAAGGCATGAAGAAGATGAGCGACTTCTTCAAGAAGAAATAGGCTGGTCTGCAGTGGACCGCCAGCATGCATTTCAGGGTATCGGTACTCATGCACAAACAAAAAGTCGTCCAACACTACTCCGTGCCTCTGGCCCGTCCCCGATATCCACCGCGAACACTCGGAGCGCCCCTACCGATTCTCGATGTGCTACTGGAATAGGTGTGGCCGCGCGTGGTCGTCGTGCTTGTGCCACGAACCCGCCCACGAGAGGACCCGCGGGTCACTGCTCGGCCGCGAGATGTGGTGCCAACAGCCGCTTGTCTCTGCCGCTCTTCCTCTTCCTCCTCACGCTTTCGTCGGACAGCCTCACGCCGCCTTTCCTCTTCCGCCGCCCGCCTCTCAGCTTGCTGTTGCTTGTGCAAAGCCTCGGCTTCGACTTCTACCAAGTCGTTGCTTGCGCCGCGCCAGTTCGGGTTGAGGATTAGTCGCTGGTTGTGTTCGGTTTGAGAGAGGATACGAGTCCAAGTATTGAGGAGAGTGGACGCGTTCGAGACGGTGCCGGAGACGGTCTACGAGTCTAAAGTCAGCGACAGACCAGGAACGAAGGACTGTCAGCAGCAACACATACGTTCATGTTCCCCTTGGCCTTGTCCAGAGTGGTGATGATGCCCTCAATGGCGGCGTTGATATTGCGGACACCCTCCAGCTCCTTGCGCAAGGCGGCCTCTCTGTCATACGTGGTAGGTTGGTTCGCAGGTGTCTTGGGCGTCTTTGGAGTTTTGGGAGTTTTCGGTGTGGCAGGGGTCTTGGGCCGGTCGGAGGATGGGGGAGCTTGACCGTCTGGGCCAGGCGACGCCCAGATGTCCTCGGTGAGGTAGTCGTCCATGTTGTCGGCCATGATGGATGTTGCGCCGGTCGGTGCCCAGCTGCAGGTGCGGGTGCAGGTGGTAATGCGCCGATAGTGACGGTTCTGCGAGAGCGCGGTCTGGGGCTGTCTGTGCCTGAGACGGAACGGCGACGGTGACGTTATTTGTTGATGGAATAAGACTTTGGGATTGGAGTGCCGCTTCGTGTCCGGGCTGTTTGGGGGAAGATGTGGGATGGTGTGAGGGGCAGAGAAGATCCCTGCAGGCCCAATGGGCACTTTAGCGTTAGTGTTGTTTGGGCCGGGTCGATTGTGTGTACGATACACGAAAAGACGCGCTTTTCAGGAGGTGCGACGCGTCTCCGCTGTCGTGGTGGGGCCTCGCTTAATTTGCGCAGAAAATGAGCTGTCTGTCCCCTCAAGCCTCAGTGTTCGTCGCTGTAAAACTTGGTGGCTGGGGCCTGGTGCGCTGCCAAAAAAAAGTCATTGGATTGGGCTGCCCACTGCCCACTTCATTGGACATGGGCTCACGTTCTGAAAGGGTCGGTCGCAGTCCCCTCCCAGCCTTTACTTTTCCCAGCCTCCAGCCTCCCACGTTCTGTGACTTGACCGTTTCCTTTTGCATCCATCCCAACTGTCGCCGCCCCATGATCGCGAACATCCTCCATTCCATCCACACATCCACTTCTTACTTGCATCTCTTGTAGTCAGAGCAACCAGAGGAATCGCGAACTTCAGCATTGTATCCTTACTGCGATTGCGTAGTATTCTCAAAAGTAATCAGTTGAACTAAGCTCTTTGTACTCTGACCGCTAGAGTCCTCTAAGAGTAAGGTACTCGAATCAGCCGGGTGCTACCTCATCTCATCCTCCCTCAACTTCAAGGCACCGACCACACTGGAAGTCTTTCATCGCTTTGCGACACCTGCACGCCCGCGCGCATTCGCCACCAAGACGGGAAAGAGCGATTGACAACCTCAAAGGAAAAACTAAAAAGGAAGGAGCAGCCCATTGAGCATCAGGGTGCCTGCCAACCCTCACACCCACGAATCCAAAATGGCGACCTTCGCAGCATCAACACCTTCACCTCCCCCATCCTCCATCCGAACACCACCGACCCCCAAACACGGCTGGAGCGATAACTGGGAACCTTACTCTCCTCGCAAGTCGGCGCGAATTTCATCTCGACGAGCCGCCCACCGAACCCCTTCTCCCCAACCCTCATCCCACCGCACTCCTCCTCGAACCACCCGCAAAGCCGTCGCGCCTTCCGCTGCCGCAGCTGCATCAATCATGTCGCCTACCGTCACCCCTCAGAAGAAGCGCCAGCCCGCCCAAGACTCCGTTCGTCGTGCATCCGGATTCCTGACCGTCGAGAGCGCAACCCAAGCCGCTTCGTCGCTTGGTATTGACAAGATGGAGCACCAAGCTCCTGCTCCTTCCGTCACTCGTCGCTCCGGCATGCTGCCCACGCCAGCCAAGACTCCCAAGAAGGCGCCCAACGAGAAGCAGACGGCCCATCTCCGCTCCGTCGCCCGCAACCTATTCCACAACGAAGAGGAGGCTTTGGTCAGCCCTAGAAGGAAGCGCGTTCCCAAGAAGTACTCTGGTAATTCGCTGGAGAGCTTTGTTGCCGAGGAAGTTGAGGAGCCGATTGAGATTTTCACCGATTCCCAAGATCGCGTTCCCGAAGTCGACCGGAGTGAGGACAACCCGTTCTACGGCGGTAGCGCCACTGTCGAGCAAGAGCCCCCGCGCCGTCGCAGCAAGCGCAATGTCGCTATCCCCGGAGAAGCCTCCCAGGCGGTTGATGAAGCGATCCAGCGTGAAGATGGACTGATCTATGTCTTGTAAGTCGAATCCGCCCTCAGATTCTTTGCATGTTCGCTAATAAATCATTGCAGCCGAGGAAAGAAGATTTTCCGCAAGTTCGCTGAGCCAGAGGATGACGAGGATGTAGAGGGCAGCACCTCTGAGCGCCCTAAGAGACCACTCACTCGCTCTGCCATCAAGCCTCGCCTGCTGTTCCCCGTGGCACCCAAGGCGCCTGCTACTGGCTCGACTTTGGAAGAGGAGGAAGCGGTCACCGACATTGAGGACCACAACCTGGAGGAGCCGGAGGACGCCCCACAGACCCCAGCCGAAGTTAAGGACGAGTCCCCTTGGACCCCTCAAGCACCCAAGTTCGGCCAGATGGTAGCAACTCCTCCCGACACCAGACGCACTACGCGATCCGGATTGAAGTCGGAAGAGGCAACCCCAATCAAACGCAAGACCCGGTCGAGTCCATTCGACGACTGGCCGCGCGTCAAAAGCCGTCACGAGAGCTCACCAGCCAAACGCTCGGCAGATCCAGTTACCTCTCCGGCTGCTAAGCGAGCCCGTCATTAAGATGTTCTAATACGGCGAAATTGAGTATCATTCTTGGTATTCTCTGGCATTTTGAGCCATGAGACTACTGCAGCTTCGGTCAGGTTCTGGGTCATGGGATGAAAAAGCACAATTCTCGATAAGCTTTTGTGTAATGGTTAGGTATTTCACTTTCTGGACTAGGGACAAGTTGGCCAGTGAGTTCTGGCAGTAGGCAGCACCTACGACTTAGGTCCCCTTTTTAACACTGGTAAACTTGTATGGACGATGGACGATCGGAAGATTCTTACGGAAGCAGAGGATGATCAGCTCGGGCTTTGGCGTTGGTTAAGCCGTGTATGAAGGACTGATATTCATGTATTAGAGGACCAGGCCAGGTTCTCCGAAATCTGCAGACTAGGACAAGAATGATTTTCATAGCATCTGTGAGAGCTGCATCGAGACGTGACCACAATGCGGTATTGACCAGCGACTTCGGCTTTCCATTACAGCCCGAGTCTACTGCACCTAATTGGATGCGTGACCATGTAGGCCAAGCGGGCAGCCACGTACGTTAGGTCGGGTTCGGGCGAGCTGTTGGTATGTGAGGCAAGGTTAAGGTAGGTAGTCAGGCCCGATGTTGCCCGCCGTTTGGCTCCGAGAGCGGGCACGGAAGTCTGCCCGTCCAACTAACGTCAACATGCCCCACTATTGCAACCCCTCCATCCCGCCTAGACTCTGTGCCGTCTGGTCAGGAAATTTATCCGACTTCTTTCCTTTATGTAACTCACGACTCATCACCTCAGGGCTTCATCAACTCTGGAACAGAGCTCCCCGGTCCCTTTTACCTCGGGGTTACCTCATTGACGTTCTTGAGCTTTGTTATTGCAGGTCCATCGGCGTCCTGTGACCTTTGCCAAGACCTCCAACCGCGGGGCATCTCTCCAACCGAAATCTCAACTTCAACCTCAACTTGTGTCCTTTTCGCTCTGCGCCTCTCTTGTCCTAGAACTCACTCAACCCATTTCGGAAACGAGATTGAACTTCACCGTCACCAAGATGCACATCCTCCTTACCAACGACGATGGCCCGCCGTCTGCACACTCCTCCCCCTACGTCCACTCCCTCATCCACTACCTTCAAAAAGCCGGCCATACCGTCTCCGTCTGCCTCCCGCATACCCAGCGCTCATGGATCGGCAAGGCGCACATCATCGGTCAGACTGTGAAGCCCCTCTACTACCGCCCCTCCGCCGAAGGTCTTCACGGCACTGAAGGCACCACCTCGACACGTCCTACCGCCACCGCCGGCGAGGACGAATGGATTCTGGTTGATGGCACCCCGGCCTCGTGCGTTCAAATCGGCCTGCACCACTTCTTCAAGGAACGTGGACCTATCGATCTCGTCGTCAGCGGTCCCAACTACGGCCGCAATACCACTGCTGTCTTTGCGCTCAGCTCGGGAACTTTGGGCGGCGCGCTCGAGGCGGCGGTCTGTAAGCGCAAGTCCATCGCGCTCAGCTATGCCTTCTTCTCGCGGAACCATGACCCTGTCATTATCGAGGGCGCCGCGAGGCACTCGGTGAAGGTCATTGAGAAACTGTATGAGCAGTGGCCTGCTAGTGACGAGGTTGACCTGTACAGTGTCAACGTGCCGCTTGTCGAGGGTGTTGAGACTCACAAGACGCTCTACACGGCCATGCTGCAGAACTACTGGCGCGAGGGCAGCTGCTTCCAGGAGATTGAGGGCGACGTTGGTGACGAGGATGAGGAGGAGGAGAAGATTCGCGAGGGTGATTTTGGCGAAGCAATTGGCGGCGAAGATGCTCCTGAGCAGAAGGGCGAGGGCAAAAAGACTCCTGCTCACCGCCAAAGGCACTTCAAATGGGCACCCAAGTTCACGGACGTGTACAAGAGCGTTGAAGAAGCAGAGCCTGGCAACGATGGCTGGGCTGTCAAGGAGGGCTACACGAGGTATGTCGATGCTCCTTAATAGGTGTTCACATGTTATTAACAGCACTTGCAGTGTGACGCCCCTGAAGGCCAACTTCTTGCAGCCTGCGCAGCATCTGCACAAGAAGGAACTGATTCTGTAAGTGAGCCCTTGGTCATTCGAGAGATGCATAGAGAAACGAGCATGGTGAGAACACGACATGGCGAAGAGCCGGGTAGGGTGCCGGGACATTTTTACACTCCATGAGCATGAACAGGCGGGAACAAAGGCATGATCATGACAATAGAGGACGGCAGCTCAGCATGTACTCTACGCTCTCAGTCGCTTTTTTGCAGACAATAGACCGAACAGTTTCTTACCTCTGTCTGTCTGTAGTGATAGCCCTCAAAGTAATGGGCCCAAGGAGCAGGTCGCCTCCATCACTGAGCTTCCCATAAGGACCGGCCCTTTGCAGCCATCTTCGACACCAGAGTTTCACGCCATCATCAACTACGAAGACCCATATGTCCAGCCTCTGATCCTCGAGGCCATGGAACGCCTGTTTCCGAACAAGTACTCGCTCCTCCCGCCGCCAGAGGCCAACACAACCACCGACGACGCACCCTCTCTGGCTGCCGTTCTTCCTACCAAGGACACCCGCATTCTCCACATCGCTCCCTACGAGTCCCTTGACTTCGACCACGTTGCCGAACACCCGTCCACCGCCCTCGTCAACAGCTACGTTATCCGCAA